CTAGAAGAAATGTGTGATTTCGTAATACAGTTGACCTGAACCTTGCTGGGCGTATTGTTTGGCAGTGTGAGGCCATGGCCTCAGACGGCACATGCTGAGTAGTAGCAGTTGAAGGCCCCCTCTGTTTTCCTTTTCTTGTTCTTGAAGGACAGAGCTGGGTGCACAACACAGTCACCATCCTCTCCTAAAGCATCCTCTTGGCCTCAGGTGTGAGAGCAGATATGATCCAGGTGCCAGTGTTGCCAGCCTAGTTTGCCCCTTTGCCTTAGGCAGCAAATCATCTTGGGCGAGCCCTTCAACCAAACACAAGCAATTATGGTTCCACCTATACGATCAGAAGAATCGTGTGCATAGCAATAGGGTCACATTATGTGTTCATGCATTTCTCATGTTCTTATATTTCTCTTTTGGCATGTTATCTCCTAATAAAACAAACACAAGATTATTTGCAAAATGTGGATTAAGGCAAATTCATGTTAGAATATACAGGTAGTATTTTATTTCTAAAGGGAGAGCTGTGCTTTTCAAGAAGTGGAAATTGTTTGATGTGCCCACAGTGAGACTATGTGTGTTTGTGCACATTATGTGCTGTCAAATTGCATCTGACCTATAGTAACCCTAATAGGTATTTGAGGTAGTTAAAAAGTTTCACCAGTGATACACACAGAGAGAGAGTGAATTTCTATGGTTAAGCAGGTTTCCTGAGTTATAGTCCATCACTTTATCCACTACTACACCACAGTGGGTACTATACTGCTTCAGAAAATGTATGATTCTTCTTCAATTTTCCTTCAGATATTGGCACAACTGGTAGCATTGTTCCTACTTGTTTGTTACTTTTTTGTTAATTGTTGAGGTGTTTTCTGGAGCAGTCTGGTGGAAGAAAGGGTGGTTTTTAAGATGTGAGAGCTGGGAGTTTGATAGTGGAGAATTGTGGTGAATAAATTTAAAGTCTAGAAGTAAATAACATCTTTTGGGCACTGGAGAGCATCATAAGCGTCTGAGTGAGGGGGCAAATACAAACATCCTCTTTTCCTGCTGCCTTCAACTTTCCATAGCATAATTGTATTTTCCTGCCTTCTCACGATGTACCCAATGTAGGACAGCCTCAGTTCCATTATTTTTGCCTCCAGAGATAGTTCAGGCCTGATTTGATCTGGGACCCACTCGTTAATTTTACTGGCAGTCCAGGGTATCCACAAAGCTCTCCTCCAGCACCACATTTCAAATGAATCATTCCCCCCTTTCTTTTGTCTTTTTAAAAATTTAATGCTGAATTAATTCTGTGAAAATTAACTGATCCATACATATTTATACTTTGTGTTTTACTTATATCATCTGTGGAAAGATAATGAGGCTGAACTAAACAAATGAGAAGTCAGGCAGGGCACCCTTAACAGGGCCATGATTAATCTGTCCAGCGCAATGGAATGGATCTGGACTCAGCATTTTCAAAGCTAGTTTCCCTTACACTGCTCTTAGAATGTCCCTTTTCAGGGTCTTCTGCTGCTTATCAATGGTGGGAGAACCACTGGCAGCAGCTTTCCACACATCCAGAGTCACCAGCATACCCTCCTAATCAAGGCAGCAGTGGTTAGAATTGAGTTCACTATTGTGTGTGCGTGTATGTATTTGCGTGCACAAATGTGCATGTGTGCATACACAATAGCCAGTTTTATTGGCCAATTTCCCGTCCCTAGAACCCACAGCAAGATGTAAACCTCCATTGTATACTCATTTTTTTCAACTTTTAAATATTGTCTTTCATTGTTGTACGCTGCCTTGGGTTCTTTTCAAGGACAGAGGTGGGATAAAAATATTTTAAATAAATAAATGAAATTAATAAACTAGTACCAAAACGAGGGACTAAACGTAAAATGTGCACTTCACACTTCCACTTTATTTTAGTATGAGTCCAAAAAAATGGGGATCGTTCATGTGAACACACACACACACACACGCACACAGAAACATTTTATATGCTGTGTGTGTTTTTGTGTTTTCTTCTTTCTCCTCAATTATTTCTTTCTTGCCCAATTACTTGGGAAATGTAGCTTCCCTCACAGCAGCCACTGCACGTCTCCTTGCTGCACTCTTTCCCCTGCCTCTTCTTGTCTCCTTGCTATCCTGCACCTCCCTGCCACACCTGCCCTGATCCCCCCTCCTCTCCTTGAGTCCTTACTGCTGCCCCCATGCACCACCTTGCCCCACTCTTCTCACTCTTTCCCCTCTCCTTCCCTTCCCACTACCGGATGCTTTAGGGCTTTTGGGGACTAATACTTGAAAAGTGAAGAGAGAAAAAGCAAAACAAAGTGACCTGAAAGACCCCACTCCCAACTGTGGTAAACAAAACAAAAGTTGCACCAAGCAAATAGAAATATATTTTTTTCTTTAAAAAGAAAGCCGTTCCTCACAACAACCCACAAATGAAAGAAAAACAAGTTTTCGCCATGGACATCTCTGTTAATCGTCATTAATGATCAGGTACCTGGTGCCCATCTTTCTCCTTCCTCAAGCAGGCCAGACATGTTGTGAATAGAAACATATATTTGACATTTTATGAAAGCACTAAATTATGTAGCAGTGGTCTTTGTGTGTTATGAATCAGACCCTGACCTTTAAAGTTGCCAAAGAAACCTGATATTTTTCAGGATTTCCCACACATGTTGGTGTTGTTTCCATTTTCTGCAATTGTAGCCTCCCTTTTTTTGAACATTGTTTGCTCTGACAGCAGCTGTAATTAATCTTCTGCATAACAAAAACATTTCAGATTTGTTGAATAATTGTCAATTTTAAATGGGTGGATATGTCTGTCTGACAGGACTGGTCCTATCTTTAGACAAAGTGAAGCAGTGGTCTCAGGCAGCAACGGTAGTCCTCCCTCTCCCAGTTACCTCTGAATTTCCTAAGGCAGTTTGCTCTGCATCCACTAAGTTACCCACGTAGCTTCAGGTAGACTCCAGCCACCAATGTTATGGTTCATTCTCTGGCATTATTGCAGAATTAGGCACATGGCATGGAGGAAAGGTGACATCAGTGGCATAGTGGGGAGGGGGGCTACATAGAGGGGCAGTCTCTATGGGCTCAAAATTCTTAGGGGTGCACAGGCCACCCTGCCTAGTGCACTCCTGCAGCCACTCCTCATGCTCCTCTTCCCTCTCCCAGCAGTCTGAGTTTAAGCTGCCAGGGCACTGGGCCTGCCACTGCCAACACAGACCTTGAGCAGCTCCACAGCCACTTCATGACACCACCCTGGGGGATACTCTGCCCCACCAAAGCCCCCAACCCTGCCCACACATTGCATCAGAAAGACAGCATGTGACCCACACCCCGCAATACTTGACTTGCTCCAGGTGCTGGCAACACACGCTATACCACTGGGTGCCATCTTGTCTTTTCACCTGGGAAGCAAGATATCCTGTGTCTGATAGTTGTGAACAAGGAGTGTTCCTCCCACCTCTTGTGCCTTGTGGAGAAGGCAGCTGAGGTCCAGAAACTGAAGTATGTTTGCAACCAAGCATTGTACCTAGAAATACTAGACATCCTGCTTCTTTTTGATGCCAGTATATTGTTTTGAAGTCAAAAAGAAGCTTTACTAATTTTGAGTAGTCCACAAAATAATTTGTTTAGGGCAATTGAGTTTTTCTTGAGAAAAAGGTGGATATCTTTAGTGAATGGGGAAAGAAAACGTCGTTTGAAATAGTGCAACCCACAAGCAAATCAGATAGTTGGAACCTTATCGGGAGTACCTCAGTTTGTTCTGTGAAATAGCCTGAAGCAGTTCCCCCTGATTTAGTACAGTATGAAGGATGTTTTGGGGTATAGCTTCAAAAATAACATTTTGCTTAACTGAAGCCTCTCTGTCTGCTGGCTTTGAGGGTATTTTATATATTTAAAATATATATTCAATACTGAGCACTAGTTCCTGTAGTCCAAAGCTGAACTAAAGTAAAATTAATTCAGTAACACAAAAATAATTTTATATACTGATTACTGAAATACCACGTTTTACAATTTGTCAAGAATCTGCAGTGGTAGTAAAACAGTAAGTAATTCTTTCAAAACACAGATTGATTCTCTGCCTTTTCTCATCCAGACATACACATCATAATTATTTATTCTGGCTGAATCTATGTATATGATAAATTCAGCCTTTACTTGTGTAGAAGGTATTAATAAATCTTGATTAAAATTGCTATGTGGAAAATCTCAAAGGAAAGTTTAAGTAATACTAATGTGCTCTAAGAAAATTGCTGCCATGCTACTATATTTTTCTCTGTCCAAAATAAAAAAAGATCATAAGGTTTTGCTTTCATCAGGCAGCTAATTGCATGTCATAGTTCAATAAACCTTCTGAACTTTGTTCATGTTAGACTTATTTTTATTTGTTTTAGATAGATACCGACCAATGCTAGAACTCTTCCATAAGAAAAGCAAATATTGTGAATATTCACGTAGTTGATATGAGAGAAATAGTGAAGCACGTTCATCAGAACGAATTTTGGGAAGAAATGCAAGTTGCAAAGCTTTGGTATCAATGTGTTGAACTGGCTAACGGATTAATGCTAATTACTTGAGCAGTAACCTTATCTTTTGTTTTGCAAAATAAGTGCATTGACACACAAGTCTTGGATCCTATGAAACATACATGGGAGGTGGGACTTTCCCATCTTCTCCTGCCCGATGGAGCCTCCTAAAGGCCCCTTGAAAAGCCTCCCCTAATAGTCGGGTGAGCTCTGGCAGAAAGATCTGAGGAAAGACTTTGTCAAAACTGGGCTTAGGGAAAGTCTGTGAGTAGAGCTCCTTGCTCCTGGATTACAATCATAACAGCGCTATTTGAGTTTTTGCTGATGAGCATAGAAGCTTTTCAGTTGTAAAAAAAATTGAAGGTTATTAAGATAGTTGTTGTAGGTTTTTTTGGGCTGTCTGGCCGTATTCTTGAGGTTTTTCTTCCTAACATTTCACCAGTCTCTGTGGTTGGCATCTTCAGAGGACAGGAGTCAGAACTCTGTCCTCAAGAATACGGCCAGACAGCCTGAAAAACCTGCAACAACCATTGGATCCCGGGTGTGAAAGCCTTCGTTATTAAGATACATTTATTTGGTAGGCAATGTTCATCTTCTTTACAATAGTGCTGACATTATTCAAAAGCTTTTATACTGTGGACGGTATATATTTTAACTCCAGAGCTTTGGACTGAAAGTTTGGAATTTTTACACTGGCAAAGAGAAAACAACAACAACAACAACAACAACAACAACAAACTCCACAGCCTTTGTTACTGATGCAAAGAGGAAGCTTTCAGTGGAGAAGTTGTAGTGCTCCATCTTGTCTCAGTGGCATGTCTTGGAAGCACACACAAGGAACAAAGGGATGCTGATGAGACTGAATCAGCCTCTCTAGGCGAGTAATTATTTCATAGTCAGGAAGACTGGCGGTGGCAATATTGAGTCCCACCATCCGAGAAACTATTTCCCTGAAGTCTGTCAGCTGTGAAAGCAAAAGGAAAAAATATATCATAATTCAAGTATTGTATCTTCTCCTCTCCCAGCCAGTACATTCATTGAGATCTTGTGTCTGAAGGTCTTCTTCCACCTGAAACACAGTGGGTAACAGTTAGTTTTTCGATGGTAGTGCCCTGCCTGTGAAATGCTCTCCTGCAGGAAAGAATATGAGGAGCCTATAGTCATCTCAGTTTCCAGCAGAAGACATTTTTGTTTGTTTTCCACATTTTAAAACTCTTCTAAGATATTTTGAATTTCATAACAATAGATGCTTTTACCTTTTGTGTCAATTTACTTGTTTATCTTGTTTTGAACTGCCTGTGGTAATGATTGGGTATGACAATAGCAAGGTTTTTATTGTTTTTGGTAAGGTGTCCTGGAAAGTGAATCGGCACTCAAGGCAAAGGATAAAAATCTCAGAAACAAACTGGCAAAGAAACCAAACAAGTCAAGATGGGGGTTAGAAAAATATGGCCTGCTTAGCAAAGCGTGACTTAAAAAAAGGTTTGTAAAGACATATTTTGGATTTATCTGTTTATTTATTTGCTACTTCTCTATGTAACTTTTTAAAAAGTATATAGGAAAAAGTGGCCATGTAGTACATCCAAAGAAATTAGGTCCTGGATTTATGGTACCATTAAAAATCTGCAAATAAGATGAGCTTTCAGATTCACTAGAACTCCTAGCTGGACAAAAATGGCATAAAATGGTGTTGAACACAATCATTGCTTCACTTTTTGAATCCAAGCCTACCAAGGAGTCTGTAGTCTCACCCAAAACATCTGGCAGTTCTTAGGTGGCCAAACTATGCTTTTGTTTCCAGAGAGAGGACAGCCTGTAAATTGACACCTTCCTCACCTCTATATCCTGAGGAATCTAAAATGTCTTGGTTTGTTGGCAGCCTGACTTCCATCATATCTGGCCCATTTTTCAAACTTTTTATTATCCCACCCTTCACCTGATGAAGAGCTCTGGAGAATCTGAAAGCTCACTTTATTTGTCACTTTTTAGTGATCCAATGAAGATATTGCCCAAACCAGAATTTTGTTTTGTCTTTGTTTATTATTTGATTAGATCTACATTAACACAGAAATAAACAATGGATCAGCTGAAAATAAACAATGGATCAAAGCTGCACTCAGCATTTCTGCTGGTAGTTGGAGCTGGAACAGAATTTTCTGTAGTCACTGATTTGCATTAATCTCATTTATAAATGCCTTGGTAAGAGATTAGATGGAAGTCTCAGCTGGCTGGAATCCCTTTATTACACCAGTCATCCACACATAATGAAAATCTCTTAAGTATTTTATTCATGCTTTTCCAAATCTAGTATTAAAAGCATAATGTTCTGTTATTACATAGTATTTTAACAGAATACTACCTTGCAATATTAGAGGGTAATTCTACTGCATGGGATGGTTATTCTACCCTTATAAATCAGAGGAAGGCATGTTGTTCTGCATTATTAGTGTGGTGTAGTGGATAAAGTCAGGGACTGGGATCTGGGTTCAAATACTAGCTCTGCCATGGAAATTTGTTGGGGAGGGTGGTCCTTGTAAAACCACTTAAATATTTTGCAGACCTTGAAAACCCAGTTAGGGTTGGATGTGACATGACAAACAAAAGTGTACACTACAAATGACTGATTAGCTAACTTCAGATACGTATCTTTTAAAGAAAACATTTAAAGGAATGCTTGCTACCATTTATTCCAAAGGGTATTAAATGAAGTGCATTTTGAGCCAAAAAGGTGTACATCATGGTTAAAAAGGCTGTTATATTGAGGTGTTTTTTTAAATGGGTCACATATGGGAGGAGAGTCCCAGCATCAGACCTACATTGCCCAAAAGGCATCAATGAGAGACTTATACAATCACATTGCACACAGTGTGTGCATCTGTATTCTTCTATATGAACTCAGAGGTAGACAAAGTATAGCCCTCAAGACTGCTTATGGCTGTGGAAAGTTTCCTGGTCCTAAAACAGGATTTGTGGGGAACAAGAGTGATCTGAAATCGCCAACCATGCCACCAACCATCAAATCTTCTGTATCAAAAATAGTAATTTATTTGTTTGGTTGTTGTGGGTTTTTCAGGTTCTTTGGCTGTGTTCTGAAGGTTGTTCTTCCTAACGTTTCGCCAGTCTCTGTGGCCGGCATCTTCAGAGGACAGCACATATTTGTTTGTTTGTTTGCCCTGCCCACCTAGTAGCAAAGCTACTACTCTGGGCAGCAAACACAACCAAACATAATAAAAGCAATTAAAAAATTGGTAAGGAGAATTCCAGATTCCAGGACCACAATAGACATGAACCGATGGGTGCAAAATTTTAGGCCAAAAACGGTTTTGATGGTATGAAAAAGAGGTTCTGGGGGTGAAAATAGAGAGTTCAGAGAAAGACAGACTTCCAGGATCCCAAGAGGCAGCGATGGCTCCTTGACCATTGAAAGTTCTCTCTCTTTCTGCCTCAGCTGAGTTGGGATATTTCTTTCTTTTTTCCTTTTTCTTTTTAGAACATCTTGTTGTCTGAGAGTTTGAAAAAATTAAAAATGCCTGCAATAGAAGTAATTGCTATGAGATATAGCTATGTCATAATCCACAAAAGACCTCTAAATTATAAGATAGTGTTTTTAAAAGCTGTTTTCTTAAATGAACACAATACCCGATGGAATAGAAAATAATAAATCCTATTCACAAGTGCGAAGGAATTTTGAATTTATTTTCCATTCAATATTGCATTTTATTCTTTGCTGTCTCAGCTTCCTTGGGTATGTATGTGGATGGATGATCTGTATAAATATACAAAGGCAGGAAATGAATAAATTTAAGTAATTAATATGTTAGTGCCCTATCCCTTTGCATCCAGTTTTCTAAGTGGACGTTTCTTCAGCTTTTTTGATTCTGTCTGGAACACTATTAAGGAATACTAGCACACCCCTGCCCCTAGCAATCTGAAGTGGTACTTCAATACAAACTAGGAGATATATGGATAGTAAGAAAGACAGATGGATAAACATCCACTTAGATTTCCTTTGCTCCTCGTAAGAGGAAGAAAGCCAACCGCAATTGCCTACTTTGTGCCAAAGATGCAAAAACTTGGAAAAAAGCAAAATTTAGTCAAAACAGAGGGAAACAAATCTGAAGTTCTATCCAATTTATACTGAAGTCATACATTAAAGATTATTCACTTCACTGCACCATATAAGTGATGTCAAAATATGTTCAGATCTTTGTTTGTGGTTCATTGTGTTCTAAAGGTCATATTTCGTATACTTACAGTTCTCGAGTGCTCTTTAATATGGTCTTATTAAAATCAGTGACATTTGATGCAACAGATTGCAATATTCTTGTTTTTAACTAATAACAAGTTCTGAAGAATATGCATAAAGATATGATTGTTACGGAATAAAGTGCCAGTTACAAACCTAATGTTTCTACTCCAACAGAATAGCAGGTGCTTCTGCTTCACAAGGAGACTGTTGCTTCTCATAACCTTCTTCTTAGTATGCTAAGACCAAGAGCTATTTTGGCAATGGCAGTGTGACAGAGAGAGGTCTTTAGAGGCAAGAGAAGAGCTCCATGCTTCACCAGAATTGTCCCTTATAGGGAAGGAGGCCAAGATAAGCTACT